CCCTAGAAGCGGTCCTTGACCCACTTCAGGAAGGCGTCCAGCGAGACCCCCGACGGGAGACCGCAGTCCTCGAGCTCGCTCTGGGTGAGCTCGGCCAGCCACGCTGGGTCCAGTCCGTCCGAGACCTTCTCGCACTCGCCGATCCCAGCGCCGCCCGTGTGGATGATCACCTCCTTCTTGGGCTTGTCGACCACGCCAAAGAAACCGCACCCGTGCGGAGCCTGACCTCCGTCTCGCGCTTCTCCTGCATGGCCTCCCCCCTGTCGAGCGCCGCCTGATTCTGACGAAACACGGCCTCCCATCGGCGGCGACGATAGGGGCGAATAGCCCAGGGGCGGGCATCGCACGCATTCGCCCCGGAGCCTTTTCGAAGACAGAGATCATCGGCGCGCCTGAATACATGTATTGCTCCCCCCTGGGCAATTCGCCTCTATCGTCGCTTCTGATCCCACTTCTCGCACTTGCTGATCCCAGCGTTGTCCTTCGCGAAGCTCCCCTCCTTGAAGATCTGCACGCTGGGCTGCTTCTCGGCCTTCAACTTCTCGCGCTTGCTGATCCCAGCGCTGACCTCCGTGAAGTTCCGCTCCTTGAAAATCTGCGCGCCAGGCTGCTTGTCATCGTCCTCAACCACGTCGAACTTCGGGAAGGGCGGCACCTCCTTCAGCTCGGCATGCTGCTGCTCCTCCTTGTCGTCGTCGTCCTCCTGCCCAACTGTCTCGGCCTTCACGCCGCCATCGTCGGGAAGGTCGAACCAGTCCGTGCAGGAGCTGTCCACGTAGTTCATCAGTTGACATCCGCGGGATTGCTGCGACGGCGCCTCCTGCTTCTGCTCCTTCTTGCCCGCGTGGTCCTGCTGGCATTCGCTCCTAGCCACTCCTGCGGCGGCGTGTTCTCGGCGTCTCCTGGACCGTCTCCCCCGCGCGCTCGCGCCTGACGCGGCTGCGGCTGGGCGGCCGCTCCGTACAAGCTCACTCGGCGCAATGGCGTCGTTGGTGCCCTTACCGGTATGGGGTCGGGCGAAAGGGGGGGATAGCAAAGGGGGGGTTTGAGAATCAGCTCACGTAGCTGATTTTCCCGGCGCCTCCCGGCGCCGGAGGCGGCTATGTATCGAGGAATGGGCTCCTCGGTGAGGCCAAAACAGCTGCATGCAGCAAATTTCGTAACCCCCCCTTTCCCAATCCCCCCCGCCCGCCCGACCCGACGGTAGCGCGCTCCACTGCCCCGGCGGCAGCTCCAGCACCCCATCCGTGATCATCAGCATCGGCGGCGGCGCCTGCGACGGCTTCGGTGCGGGCACGCCCGACCTCCGCACCGTCGGCCGCGCTTCGGCCGCTGGCGCGGCAGACGAGGCCGCCTTGACCGCCGCCGCCACTGCTGCTGCAACCGCTGTCTCGACGAGGTTGCCCACGAAGGCGAGGTCCTGGCCGCGCGCACGGTTGGGCTCCCTTCTCGCAGGCCTCTGCCTCCAGGGCGCTGCCTCTGCTTCTGGGCAATCGCCCCATCCCATTGCTCGCCCCGGCCAGCCACTTCGAATCGCGCTGAGGCATGCACGAGCGCGCGGGCCGAGCACGGGCGCGGCGCGCGGCGGGCGCGCGCACCGCGAGGCACTCGGGGGCGCGGGCTCGCGCCGAAATGGCTCGAGCCAAAATGGCTAAGGAGGAGGAGGAGGAGGAGGAGGAGGAGGAGGAGGAGGAGGAGGAGGAGGAGGAGGAGGAGGAGGAGGAGGAGGAGGGGGAGGCGGAGGATGATGAGGAGGAGGCGGCGGAGGAGGCGGAGGAGGAGGAGGAGGAGGATGAAGAGGAGGGGAGGGATTCAAGAGGGGGGCAACAGGGAGGGAGGGATGAGAGAAGCTGAGCTCGAAGTGGCATGGCTTTGGGACGCTGGCACCCCCTTGGGGGGGGCTGGAGGCCCGGTGTGCCACCATGGCCCGCCGCTTGAGGGGGGGGGTCAACTATGGAGCAAAACGATGGGATTGCTGGGGGTCTTATCAGAAGCCCGGCTGGCTTTGCCCAAGCATCGTGCCCTGCCTGGAGTGTGACGGTTCAACTTGAGAGCAGCCAGGGGGTGTAGTATAAGGTGCGAAGGCCCCCGTTGGGTTCAAGCCGGACCGTGGGAAAGACTTCGGCGACCTTCCTTCGAGCAGTCCTGTCCCTGTCGAATCCGCTGCCCCGCGCGTGGCTTTAAGGCTGCTCAGATTGGCCTCGCACGTATTCGCCCCGGGGCCTTTTTCGATTGCCGTCGAGCCCGCAGGCAGGCCCAGGGCCCGAATAACAATGCGAGGGGGGAGCCCCGCGGAACTCCCGAGGCTGCGCCCGCCCCGAGGCCCTCATGCCTGACGCGAGTCGAGGACCAATCAGTCCCCGAATCGCCACCTTGAGGAAGAAGACGCCCTGGCCCTAGAAACGGTCCTTGACCCACTTCAGGAAGGCGTCCAGCGAGACCCCCGACGGGAGACCGCAGTCCTCGAGCTCGCTCTGGGTGAGCTCGGCCAGCCGCGCCGGGTCCAGCCCGTCCGAGACCTCCTCGCACTCGCTGATCCCAGCGCCGCCCGTGTGCATGATCACCTCCTTCTTGGGCTCGTCGACCGAGCCAAGAACCGCACCCGTGCGGAGCCTGACCTCCGCTTCGCGCTTTTCCTGCACGGCCTCCCCCTGCAGAGCGCCGCCTGATTCTGACGAAACATGGCCTCCCATCGGCGGCGACGATAGGGGCGAATAGCCCAGGGGCGGGCATCGCACGCATTCGCCCCGGAGCCTTTTCGAAAACAGAGATCATCGGCGCGCCTGAATACATGTATCGCTCCCCCCTGGGCTATTCGCCTCTATCGTTGCTTCTGATCCCACTTCTCGCACTTGCTGATCCCAGCGTTGTGCTTCGCGAAGCTCCCCTCCTTGAAGATCTGCGCGCTGGGCTGCTTCTCGGCCTTCAACTTCTCGCGCTTGCTAATCCCAGCGCTGACCTCCGTGAAGTTCCGCTCCTTGAAGATCTGCGCGCCAGGCTGCTTGTCATCGTCCTCAACCACGTCGAACTTCGGGAAGGGCGGCACGTCCTTCAGCTCGGCATGCTGCTGCTCCTCCTTGTCGTCGTCGTCCTCCTGCCCAATCGCCTCGGCCTCCACGCCGCCATCGTCAGGAAGGTCGAACCAGTCCGTGCAGGAGCTGTCCACGTAGTTCATCAGTTGACATCCGCGGGGTCGCTGCGACGGCGCCTCCTGCTTCTGCTCCTTCTTGCCCGCGTGGTCCTGCTGGGATTCGCTCCTAGCCACTCCTGCGGCGGCATGCTCGGCGTATCCTGGACCGTCTCCTCCGCGCGCTCGCGCCTGACGCGGCTGCGGCTGGGCGGCCGCTCCGTCAAGCTCGCTCGGCGCAGTGGCGTCGTCAATGCCCTTACCGGCAGCGCACTCCACTGCCCCGGCGGCAGCTCCAGCACCCCAGCCGTGATCGTCAGCATCGGCGGCGGCGCCTGCGACGGCTTCGGTGCGGGCACGCCCGACCTCCGCACCGTCGGCCGCGCTTCGGCCGCTGGCGCGGCAGGCGAGGCCGCCTTGACCGCCGCCGCCACTGCTGCTGCAACCGCTGTCTCGACGAGGTTGCCCACGAAGGCGAGGTCCTGGCCACGCGCGCGGTTGGGCTCCCTTCTCGCAGGCCTCTGCCTCCAGGGCGCTGCCTCTGCTTCTAGGCTGTCGCCCCATCCCATTGCTCGCCCCGGCCAGCCACTTCGAATCGCGCTGAGGCATGCACGAGCGCGCGGGCCGAGCACGGGCGCGGCGCGCGGCGGGCTTGCGCACCGCGAGGCACTCGGGGGCGCGGGCTCGCGCCGAAATGGCTCGAGCCAAAATGGCTACGGAGGAGGAGGAGGAGGAGGAGGAGGAGGAGGAGGCGGAGGATGAGGAGGAGGCGGCGGAGGAGGCGGAGGAGGAGGAGGAGGAGGATGAAGAGGAGGGGAGGGATCCAAGAGGGGGGCAACAGGGATGAGAGAAGCTGAGCTCGAAGTGGCATGGCTTTGGGCCGCTGGCACCCCCTTGGGGGGGACCGGAGGCCCGGAGTGCCACCGTGGCCCGCCGCTTGAGGGGGGGGGGTCAGCTATGGAGCAACACGATGGGATTGCTGGGGGTCTTATCAGAAGCCCGGCTGGCTTTGCGCAAGCATCGTGCCCTGCCTGGAGTGTGACGGTTCAACTTGAGAGCCTAGAGCCCGATGGGGCAATGCAGCCAGGGGGTGTAGTATAAGGTGCGAAGGTCCCCGTTGGGTTCAAGCCAGACCGTGGGAAAGACTTCGGCGACCTTCCTTCGAGCAGTCCTGTCCCTGTCGAATCCGCTGCCCCGCGCGTGGCTTTAAGGCTGCTCAGATTGGCCCTCAGCCGCAATAGTGGCGGCGGCAGCAAACTGACGAAATCGCTGACGACACCAGCGAGAACTCTGGCATCAAAAATTGCCAGCCATCTACTTCCCACGGCTACCATCACCAACACAACAACAAGAAACACGATATCAACGCACATTGCAACACGAAACCAGGACGACCGAGCACAAACAACGAACCTCTCACCGGATATTACTCCTTCCTGCCTGCCTCCTGCTCCCAACCGAACTATCATGCCCTGAGGTACGCCTCGTCAACTCTTCCCAACAAACCGCTGTCTGCACGTGCATCTTGTCGACGGAGAAAGCTGGACACAAGGCGCTCTGGACTTCCTGGAGACGGTTTGCAACAGACGCAGCCTGCTCGAACCCATCATCTTCACAATGGCTTGTGGCGACAAGGACTATGCTGGAGAGACCACGGCTGTGCAAGAGGAAGGGGGGAACTTTGGCCAACGATCCTTGATTCCACGAGCTTCCCCACTCAGATCCCAGCCCAACCGCCCTCTCTGCGTACTTGCATGCACTCCGTATGGAGTCCTGATTAAGGAACAACGATCTCAGAAACAGCGTGCCAACGGTGGGAACTAAACATGAAACGGATGCGCTCGTGAGGCCAGGAGAGAAGCGCCGACCGCGCCTGCACTCCGTTGTGCCACGCGCGCGCAGCGTTTCTCGAGAAAACCTCCAGCTGCAGCAGAGGGGGGCCCGACTTCAGGAGTTATAGGATGGAGAGGGTCAGGAAGGATAAGGATATACATAAGGGAACCGAAACTGATATGTGTACATATAAATATATATACATATATATATATACACATACACATATAAAACTATGTAATTCACGCACACACATATACATACATACATACATACATACATACATACATACATACATACATACATACATGCATGCATGCATGCATGCATGCATGCATGCATGCATGCATGCATATATACATACATGCATACATATACACATACATTTACATTTACATATACATGTACATATACATATGCATATGCAGATACATATACATATACACATACACACATATATATATATATATATATATATATATATAGATGCTAGAACCACGCGCGCGCGCTTCGAGCGCACTTAGGTTCTAGTCAGCCCCGCCCTTGGCAAGGTCACATAGCCACTAACGTTGGGACCTCCTCGGAACATCCTGGACTGCTTCTTGAAATCGTCATGGGACCTTCTCGGCATGTTTTCGGGGGCCTCTCAGAAAGAGTTTTGAAGTCTTTTGGGTGCCGTCTTGGAGCCTCCTGCAGTCTCTTTTGGGCTTCTCGGGGGCCTCTCGGAGCCTCTTGGGGGCCTCTTGGGGGCTTCGTGGCGGCCTCTTGGGGGCATCTTGGGGCGGAGAGCTTGATTTTTCACTTCGAGTTTCCCTCTCTTGGGCCCCTCGCGGGGCCTTCTTGGGACCCTCTTGCGCCGTCTTGGGCGGCTCTTGGGCCGTCTCGAGGCTCTTTTGGAACCTCTTTTGCGCTTCTTGGGGGCCTCTCGGGGCCTCTTGGGGGCTTCCCGGGGGCCTCTTATCTTGGAGCGGAGAGCTTGAATTTTCAGTTCGCGTTCCCTCTCTTGGGCTTGGCTTCTTGGGACCCTCTTGCGCCGTCTTGGGCGGCTCTGGGGCCGTCTCGGGGCTCTCTTGGGCCGTCTTGGGGCCCTCTTGAGGGCCTCCTGGGCCGTCTTGGAGCAGTTCTGGGAGCCTCTTGGGCGGTGCTTTAACGCTGGAAACGCGAAACAGCGAGAACGCAAAAAACATTGGACGCAAAACAATGAAAGTCAACTCTCGGGGCGCTCTTGGACGGCATCTTAAAGGCCTCTTGGGGCGTCTTGGGGGCCTCTGGGGCAATTGAAAACGCATCGTGTAGCCTCTTGGGGGCCTCTTGGGGCTCCTGGGGGCCTCTTGAGGCGGAGAGCTTGAATTTTCAGTTCGCGTTCCCTCTCTTGGGCCCCTTTCGGGGCCTTCTTGGGCGGCTCTGGGGCTCTGTTGGGAAGTCTTGGGGCCATCTTGGGGGCCTCTTGGGCAGTCTTGGAACGGTTTTGGGAGCCTCTTGGGCGGTGCTTCAGCGCAGGAAACACGAAACAGCGAGAATGCAAAACACATGGGACAAAAACAATGAAAATCAACGATCTTGCCCTCTCGGGGCGCTCTTGGGTGGCATCTTAAAAGCCTCTTGGGGCGTCTTGGGGCCCTCGGGGCAGCTTAAAACGCACCGTGCGTCGCCACAGACCCCTGGACGGCGCCTTGGGGGTGCCGCGAGACCGTCCGGGGCCGCCAGGATTGCTGTCTGAGGGTTTCCTGGGGCGATTTGAGGCCTCCCAGAGGCGGGCCCGGGCCCTGGTGCCCACATTTGCGGTCGAGGTTCCGGCCCTGGGCCCCCAGGCCAGGTGCGCCGTTAGATGTGTGTATAATATATATATATATATATATATATATATATATATATTTATATATATATTTATATATATATATATATATATATATATATATATATATATATATTATATATATATATATATATTATATATGTATGTCTATGTATGTATGTATGTATGTATATGTATATATTTATGTTTTTGTATATGTGTATATATATATGTATATATAATTATGTACGCATGCCGTTTGATGACTGTAAATCTGTACACACATACACACATCTAACGTATACGCATCGATACATGTAGTTCTAATCATACATAGATACGTATAACGCATGTGTATCCATAAATAACCAGCACGCACATGCATATAATATAATCAACCATGGTGGCACTAACGAAATGGAGGTACTGAGAAATAGAGAGAGAGAGAGAAAGACAGAAAGAGAGAGAGAGAGAGACAACGTTTGAGGTGCGATTAACATGAACCGGTACATCATGTAATGCAAATCGGTTGGAAAACGAAACATATAGTCTGGACCAGGACCAGGACACGGAGCCGGAATAACACATAATACGATGAACGAGGAACGCGAGGAATAGCATGGGGTGATGGGGGGTCGCGCACTCGACTCCCAGACACGCTTGTTTCCACCCAGCCCAACCTTGTGGGACAAACAAACCCTATTCGTTGCCGTCGGAACCGCCGGGGCAAAGAAACTTTTCCGTCGCAGTACGGCATAGGCAATCCGCGCGGGTGCTCGTGTTATGGGAGACATACGACTAACCCATTGTCCGGATGCAAGATATGGGGCGCGGGAGGGCAGGGCGGCCGCGGAGGGAACAGAGGGGGAGGGCACTCGCGAGTGACATAATTTCACGGCGAACGCGCCAGTGCGGCCAGCCAGGGCCGTGGTGCCACGGCAGTGGGCACGGGGCGGCATCGCGGTAGGCGGCACGGGGCGGCATCGTGGCAGAGGCTGCAGGCGCTGACAGAGTGGGGAACAAGGTGCTAGCACTGCGCCAGTACAGAAGCCCTGGGAAGCTGCCAGGAACGAGTTGCGCATCTGGTTCTTCGTCGCATGGCTGAGCTGCGTCAAGCTTTGCTGTGCCGGGCCGTCGTTTGCTGGATGCGAGGCCAGGGCGGGGTTCCAGCGGCAGCGCGAGGTGTTCGCGCGGGGCTGCGCAAAGGCGGGAGTAGGAAACGAAGGGGGACATAGCGCCCCGCGCGACCGGCGCGCGTGTCGCAGCAGGGCGGGGGAAGGCCTGCAGGCCTGGCCGCGGGGGCGACCGAGCGGCGCGGCAGGGCTCGTGTGGAGGCGTCGGGGCGGGGGGCCCGGCCCGCGCGCCTCGCTTGCAGGGGCAGCGCGCGGGGCGAGGCCGCGCCTGGTGGAGGAGGGGGGCGGGCTGCCGTTGAGGGCGGCCCGCGGCCAGGAACGCCCGATCGGCGCAAACGCACGTGGGCCGGGGGGCGTGCCGCCATGGGGTGCGGTCGCGCAGGCCAAGGCTGATCCTTCCCGGGGAGGAGGCGTTGTTGCGCTGGGGCCCGGAACCCGCGTCGGGCGCTCATTTCTGGGGGGGGGGGTTCGCCGGGGGCGCGCGGCGCAGCGTGCCAGCGGCCGCAGTGAAGGGGCTCGCCTGGTGCCCCGCGCGCGGCGCCGCGGATCAAATCTCTGCGGGCGCCGAGCATGTCGGTCAAGCCGGGCCCTGGAATGCGCGCGGCGCCGAGCGTGGCTGCGCCGCCCGGTCTGCGCGCAATTGAGCAGCGTGCTCTGGGCCCAGGCAGCGTGGAGGTCAATGTCGAGCAGCGCGTCGTGGTCATGGGCGCCGCCCGTGTCGCGGGTTGCCGCCGCCGCCCCGGCGTCGGGGCCCGAGGCCTCCCCGACCTCCCCCGCCTCCGACGACGCGCCAAACGTTGGGGGGCAGCGTGTTGTCGCAGCCGTGGATTGGGCGTTCTCACCTGCCAGGAATAGCCCGCCGCCACTGCCCAGGAGCGCCTGCGATGCAGGGGGGCGGGCGTTCTTCGATGCGGGTGCGCTCTGCGGCGACGAGGCTGGGGGGGCGCCGAGGTGGGGGCGGGGGTGGCTGACCGGCTTCGCGATTCTCTGGCCCAGGAGTGCAACTGGTCGCGCCCCCTCGCGCCTGGATCCATCCAGGGGGAGCCCGCTGGTGACGGTGGCCGCCGTCGCCGCGGCGCCATTGGTCGTGGCAGCTGCTTGGGGAACGGCCCCGCCCCTCGTCGGGGTCGGCGAGGGGGGGCGGGGGGTCGAGCGGCGGGGCTGTCGCCGTTCAACGCGCTCTGGTTTCTGACGCCGCCGTCGCCGCAGGTCGCGCGCGCTCCCAGACAACCTTCTGTGGGGGCTCACCGGTGTGCAGGCCTCCTGGGGCCCGGGAGAGAGCTGCGACCGGGCCCCCGCTTCGGCCGGGACGCCTCCCGCGCGAGTGAGCGAGGAGCCAGCGGGTTACGCGAAATGCGTGGGGCTGGCGAGCTGCGCTGGCGACGTGCCTGCAATGCCGACCATCTCTGCGTTGCCTCCGCCCGCTGGCTCCTAATGCGTGCCCGCCTCCAAGAGTGGCCAAAATTCAGCCCGCCGTCTGTTGGTGCGATCGCAATGCGTGCCATCCCCCGGGGTGATGGACGGCGCCCTCGCGCCACTTGGGCCGCGCGCGATGCCCAGCGAAGGCGTCTGAAGGGGGGCCGCCTTCCCCGCTGCCCCCCGCTCCTGCAACCGCGCTGCCGCTGCCGTCCGTCTGCGTCCACATTGCCCGACACTATATAGCTCAAGACGTCCACGGGCTCCAACTTTCAACGTCCCCGCCCGCATCTCGCTGGGCGGCGGCGGGGCTGGCTGCCGCCGCCGCTGCCGCGGCTGGCTCTGCTCGCGCGGGCTGATCGGGGCGGCGCTGTGGCTCGCGATGGCGGGGTCAAGCTTCGCCGGCCACGTGTCGTTAAACAGCGACATGGCCAGCTGCCGACGTTCGCCCTCCTCTGGCGCGCGCTGAGCTGGGCGTCGCTGCTCGTGGTGGCGGGCCCCCGGCTTCGCCGCCGACCGGGCTCGCGAACGCCAGCGCGTCGAACGGATCGCGTTGGTGCTGCTGGAGTCCGTCGTGCTGCCGTGCTGCTCGCGGTCGTGCTGATGGAATCCGTTGTGCTGCTCGCAATGGTGCTGCTAGAACTGGCTGTGCTGCTCGCGGCCGTGCCGCTGGAGTCCGTCGTGCTGCTCGCGTGGGTGCTGCTGTAGTCCGTCATGGTAACGAAGGTCATGTCGATGGAGTCCGTCGTGATGCTCGCGATGATGCTGCTGGAGTCCGTCGTGGTGCTCTCGATGGTGCTGTTGGAGTCCGTCGCGCTGCTCACGGTCGTGCTGCTGGAGTCCGTCGTGCTGGTCGCGGTGGCGCTGCAGGGGTGCGCCATGCTGCTCGCGGTCGTGCTGCTCGAATCCGCCGCGCTGCTCGCGATGGTGCTGCTGGAGCCCGCCATGCTGCTCGCGGTTGTGCTGCTGGAGTCCGTCGTGCTGCTCGCGTTCGTGCTGCTCACGATGGTGCTGCTGGAGCTCGTCATGCTGCTCGCGGCCGAGCTGCTGGTGTTCCACTTGCTGCCCGCGATATTTTTGCTGGAGTCAACAATGCTGCTCACGGTTGCGCAGCTGGTATCCCTCGTGCTGCTCACGATGGTGCTGCTGGGGTCCGTCTTACTGCTCACGATCGTGCTGCTGGAATCCGTCGCCCTGTTCACGATGGTGCAGCTGGAATCCGTCATGCTGTTCACTGTTGTGCTGGTGGGATCCGTCGCGCTGCTCACGATGGTGCTGGTTTGAGTCCGTCACGCTGCTCACCGTCGTGCCGCTGGGGTCCGTCGTGCTGCTCACGATGGTGCTGCCCTGTATCCGTCATGCGGCGGCCAGTCGTGCTGCTGGAGTCCGCCGTGCTGCTCACGATGGTACGCTGGAGTCATGGTGCGCAGCATCGTGCTGCTCACGATGTCGCGGTCGTGCTGCTGCCATCCGTCGTGCTTCTTTATGGCATCAGCGCCAATGCCTCCCGAACCCTGATTTAAACCTGGAGAAAGCACCTGCAATGGAGGGCGGTGCAAGGCACGCCAACAGAGACATGGCTGCCAGCCAAAAGCAAAACCAATGCGGGCGAGAACCGCGCATCGTGCCACTAACGGCCCCAATGGGCCAGGTGGCAATGGCATGCGCACGCCACAGCCACACGGGAGGCCCCGCGGCTGGGTACCATCCGTCGTGCTGCTCACGATGGTGCTGCTGGAGTCCACGATGCTGCTCATGGTCGCGCTTTTTACGCCGGTGCTGCTGGAGTCCGTCATGCTGCCCACGGTCGTCGCTCTGCGCGGCGCCAGGGCCGCCGGCTAGGGACGACGCACCCGTTTGACACCAGAAGTGCCTGGTAGCACGAGGAGGTCTAGGGTCAGGTCAGGCGTGTCCCCCTACAGGCGGATCTCGGGCAACAAATGAAAGATAGTCAAAACAGATTCAAACAATTGTCAAACATGGTCGAAAGGTTGTCCCCGGATCATTTTGTGGACTTTTTGAATATTCCTCCTGTAGCGGGACACGCCTGGCTGAAAACTAGTTGGATGCCTTCGTGATGGGGTCCGAGTAGATGGGGTCGGAGAATCGCGCCGAATCGGCGATGCATCGGCGACGTCGGCAATGCATCGCCGACGTCGGCGTCGAGAAGATCGGGCTCCACATCGAGCCGCATCGGCGATGCATCGGCGATGCATCGGCGATGCGACGCGATCCTCCGATCCCATCTTCTCCGACGCCCTCTAGGAGGCCCAGACCCATGTTGTCCAGAACCGACAGCGGCCGCCGTTGAGCAGGCGGCCTTCTGCCTCAAGAACGGACAACGTCCGCGGCGACGCCGACAGCGAGTCCCGTTCAGAATGAAAACAGAAAATGCTGTCGATCTTCGTGCCCGCTGTTTCCGCACTCGTTCCGATCAAGGTGGCGCAGCTGTTGAGTTGGGCTGGGGGGTCAGATCTGCACACGGCCCCAAACGGACGTCAAGGGGCGCAACCAACCTGTTCGGCCAAGCTGACACTGATGCACCCACCACACCCGGCGTCAAGCCCAAACCCTGGCCGTAAGCGAAGGGCTGCATGCTGCGCATCTTCGGCGGCCTGAGCGGCGAGGCGTTGCACCACCTCGACGTCCCTTCTTTGGTGGTGTGGCCCTGCAGAGGGAGGCGCTCCCTGACCCTCGGCCCCACTCGACGCAGCCGCGGAGGCGGCACCACTCGCCGCAGGTCGTGGCTTCGTTCGCCCATGGGGCGCCGCGCGGCTCCCCTGCGGGGGCGCGGCAAGTCGCGGCCGTGGCGCGGAGCTCGGCCCCACTCGACGCAGCTGCGGAGGCGGCGCCGCTCGCCCGTGATGGCGCCGCGCGGCTCCCCTGCGGGGGCGCGGCACGCCGCGGCCGTGGCGCGGGGCTCTGCGACACGCGCGGCGAGCCCGGGGCACTCGGCACCGCGGCCGCCCGTCGTCGGCCCCTCCTTCAGTGGAGGCCTCCTGGAGGGGGTCCGAAGAGTCCTCCTCCTCCTCCTCCTCCTCTTCCTCCTCCTCCTCCTCCTCCTCCTCCTCCGCCTCCTCCTCCTCCTCCTCCTCCTCCTCCTCCTCCTCCTCCCTTGTCCTCCACCTCCGTCCCCCCTCCAACTTATCGTGGTGGTGGTGGAAAACAGGACGTGGGGTCGGGGGGCCGCGCCGCATCGCCGGTGCGACGCACCGGTGATGCAGCGGCGACGGCGGCGACGCATTGGCGTGTCGAAGCCCTGGCTCCCCACATCGAGCCGCAGCGTCGGTGCCTCGTCGGCGCGGGGCGATCCGTCGACCACATCTACCCGGACCCCGCTTGAAGGAGGTCTAGATCTTTGGCGTCCGCGAGCGTATTTGGCAGAGCGACGGATCGACGGACAAGCACATGTGCGAAGCCTGGCGAGCGAAGGCCCTTCCATGTGTGGGCGCTGGCGCGCGGCTCTCGCGGTGTGGAACGTGGCGCACTCAACACTTGTGGGCAAGCTGCGCGGAACCCTGAAAGCAGTGCCAAGTCCCTCGAACCTGAAGACAAAGCAACGCCGCGCTGGAGTGGTCTGAGCGGCCACGGATGCCGCGGCTTGATTGTCCCCGTCTTGCATTTTTGCGTTTTCAAACCCACATTCTTCCTTCGCGTCTCCCCCCTCCCCATTCGCCTCCCTCTCTTTCTCTTGTTCTGCTTCCTCCTTCTGCTCCGTTCTCCTTGTCCTCCTCCACCTTGGGCCGTGGGGTTCCGTCAGTATTCGGCTGCTTGCTGTGCCTCTGTCAGCCCCCGTCCAGCTGTAGCTTGGCCCCTCGGCCTCGTGTGCCTGTGTGGGGCCACTCCGCCCCGTGTCTCTGGGACGGACCTCGCCTCCGGCGCCCCGTCACATCCTCGGCTTTCTCTGGAGTAGTCTGGGTTCGGTTTTCGGACGGCTCCCTGCTCTGTCGCTCGCTCGCTCCCGCTGGGGGCTTCGGTCGTGCTGCGCCAGACCTGCGTCATCGCCGGTGCGACGCTCGCGCCCACGCGTGCTTCAAGCACGTCGTGGGATGCTGCCTCGGGCCACCAAGGGGCGGCATCAGCCTCGAGAGCACTGGAAAGGCGAGTCGCATGCCCCTCCTCCTTCTCCTCTTCCGCCTGCCTCTGACTCGTCGCCCCCTCCTTCAAAGCCCTCGCCCCTCGCTGAGACTTCTTCGCCCAGCCCTCATCACCCCTTCGGTTCTTCCTCCCCTTCATGTCACTCCTCCTCGTCCTGCACCCTCATACTTGCCAAATTACACCCACACAGGATCGCTGCGTCCCGCTCCTTTGAGCATACTGGAGTCTCAACCAAGGTTGCCGAGTGACTCCCTGCAAGGACATATTAGATGCAGAGCTGCATGCCCTCCTCCTGATGCAACCGCGACCATGGTGCGGCAACGATCTCCGCTAATGTGCCGTCGGTCGGGCGAACAATAGGGGATCGAGTGCCTCGACAGGTCCGTGCATGCCGAACTGGCAATTGTTCAGGTACTGACCTTCCTCGGGGTCCTGCGTCAGGCTGCGGCAAGATGTGGCGGGGCATTGCCGCTGTGATGGGCGATGAGAGGAACGATGCGGCTAACGGGACGGACGATGTGAGGGTGCACGATGGACAGAAGGGGAGCGATGGCAACCACGAAAGGAAACATGGCGGGGGAGGAACACATGGAAGAGGAAGGAGTGGGAGGCGCATGCCGTGGTACGAACCGTTATTGGGAGATGCGCCATCTGGATGGTGTGCAACATGCAGTGGAAACCCATCCCTGAGACCCCCAGACGTCCACTGACTCTGAGTGCCGGAGCGTCGCACTCTCCAAGGCAAAACCATCGCCACCCAAGACACCCGAGGCACCCCGGAGGCAGGCAGGGTGTTTCTTGGCATGGGCCTCTCCACTGTCATCCTGGAGTGGACGCAGCACGTCATGGGCCGCGCCCGGGGGGCCGCAGGAACGCCGGGCGCAGGAGGAGGGCTGCTCCTCCACATAGGGGGAGGCGACCGTCGCTGCCCTTGCGGCTTGCGAGGTGGGCACCGGGTGCGCGAGAAGGGAAAGGGGACCCCGGGGACACACAGAGGAATTCGGAAGCTGGGCGAAAGCTGGCACATCCGTGGCTGCTGAAACTGGCTTTCCGGAAGAAAAACATATCCCGGCAAAGCAACCTAACAGCGATGTGTAGGAGCATATCTGGACACATTCCCCTTAAGATTCAGATGAGAATCCAGTTGTAGAATTCTGCTGTTCTCGCAGTCGTAGTCGCATTCGCGATGACAGTCGCAGTGGCAACGGCAGTCGCAATCACAGCCTCAGCCTGCCTCAGCTCAGCCTGCCTGCCTCAGCCTCAGCCTCAGCCTGCCTCAGCCTCAGCCTGCTTCAGCCTCAGCCTCAGTCTGCCTTCAGCCTCGGCCTCAGCCTGCAGCCTCAGCCTGCCTCAGCCTCAGCCTCAGCCTCAGCCTGCCTCAGCATCAGCCTGCCTCAGCCTCAGCCTCAGCCTGCCTCAGCCTCAGCCTCAGCCTCAGCCTCAGCCAGCCTCAGCCTGCAGCCTCAGCCTCAGTCTGCCTTCAGCCTGCCTCAGCCTCCTCAGCCTCAGCCTGCCTCAGCCTCAGCCTGCCTCAGCCTCAGCCTCAGCCTCAGCCTCCTCAGCCTCAGCCTCAGCCTCCTCAGCCTCAGCCTCAGCCTCAGCCTCAGCCTCAGCCTGCCTCAGCCTCAGCCTCCTCAGCCTCAGCCTCAGCCTCAGCCTCAGCCTCAGCCTGCCTCAGCCTCAGCCTGCCTCAGCCTCAGCCTCAGCCTGCCTCAGCCTCAGCCTCAGCCTGCCTTCAGCCTCAGCCTCAGCCTCAGCCTCAGCTGCCTTCAGCCTCGGCCTCAGCCTCAGCCTGCCTCAGCCTCAGCCTGCCTCAGCCTCAGCCTCAGCCTCAGCCTGCTTCAGCCTCAGTCTGCCTTCAGCTTCGGCCTCAGCCTCAGCCTGCCTCAGCCTCAGCCTGCATCAGCCTCAGCCTGCCTCAGCATTCAAAATGTGGCCCGGGAATGGAGTTCTGGGAACTCGAAGAACACGAAGTGGCCTACAGTCGGCTCCAGGCATTCAAAATCATGCCCGGGAATGGAGTTCTGGGAACTCGAAAATCACGAAGTGGCCTACAGTTGGCTCCGGGCATTCAAAATCATTCCCAGGAATGGAGTTCTGGGAACTCGAAGACCACGAAGTGGCCTACAGTTGGCTCCGGGCATTCAAAATCATGCCCAGGAATGGAGTTCTGGGAACTCGAAGAACACGAAGTGGCCTACAGTTGGCTCCGGGCATTCAAAATCATGCCCAAGAATGGAGTTCTGGGAACTCGAAGACCACGAAGTGCGTTACTGTTGGCTAAAAAAGAAATCATCGGTTTTCCGCGGCACCCGTCCGGCATCTGCCCAGACCCCCCTGGGGAATCAGGATGCTCTCTTTTGACCCCACTAGAAACCTATCAGTCTTAGCTGTTAGGTAACACATTCCCAGCATAAAACTCAGCGCACTAAATAAACGGCCTGCTTCACAGAAGACACAACAATTTCCAAGAGCTCCGATTTAGCAGCCACGGGTCTGCCAGCTCTCGCCCGGCGTCTGACACGTGAACACACGACCACATCTTCCCGATACTTCTTCTCCAACCTACTTTCTGGATCTTCGTCGTCCGCTCTCAGCTTCCCATGCTTCCTGGTGTCCGTGTCCTCTGCTCTCTCCCGCAGCAAGCGCCTGCCTCCCTCCGCCGGGCAGGGCAGCGGCCTCCGGGTAGCGCTGCAGCACCAGCTGCAGTTCGGCCGGGAAGAACACGCAGTCCGGATCGACCTTCACCTGACGGGGTGGGGGGCGGCGGCTCGCGGATCGCTCGGCGCAGTCCTCGCTGCCGCTGCTGCTGCTCCTTCTGCTGATTGATGCTCTGGCCGATGCCACCGCCATGGCTGCCGCTTGGCTCCGGCACGACACATCACTTCGGCGAGTGGCGGCAAATCTTAAACGACGCGGGGCCGAGGGGGATATGGCGTGAACAACACAACCTGTTGGACATATTTTTGGCGACGCCAAAAGTAATGATATGCTGTGCAATGAATATGTCAGATGTGTGTCGTGTACCGTTTCGGTACTGTCTGACTCTGGCATGGCATGTTGTGGGCTTTGAGGAAGAGCATGGGGAAGGGAGGGGGCATCACGAAACACATGGGAATCAAGTACACAAGAGGAATACCATGAAGACAACTTGTACATTACACCTTCGAACTGTTCGATCTCAACTTCAAAGTCCACGTTTACTGCTACCACTTCCGACATGACGCTTCGAGGTGTTTCGTTGGTGTCGCCACTACTGCTGATGTTTTCGTTGGTGTCTCCACTACTACTGCTGATGCTACTCGTGCTCATATCCCGATCCCTTATTCGTATATAGTCCTGCTATGCCATCCAGCTGGTCGATGGCCAATGAGTCGATGCGAATCGACATACTTTTTTCCAGCATGGTTATTTCGGCGTCGATGTTGCAAAATTAGAGGCCGGAATGGGACGGGACACACTGCGCGAAAAGGCGAACTGTCAACGGCGCCGCGCTCTTTTTCCGAATACTTAATTGCACTCCCGCCTGGGCGCGGCGCATACAGTCAACCAGTATCATAAGGACGCACGACGCAAGGGCCTTGGAAGGCCATTTCGAAGCTTTTTCGAGCGGGGCGCGGCCAACGAATGGCCAAGGATGGACCAAGGAGGCAAGGATGCAAGGGTACCCTTGCGAAGGTTGCCCATCCTTTCTATGCGGGTGGACTGTATGTTCCGATCGCCGATGCGTCGACGGCGGGCTCGCGCGCGCACGGACGCATATCTAAGTAGTCGCCCCGGCGCCGCGCTGATTTCATCCGGGTGGGCGTGGGGCTCCCTGACCACTTGGAGCCGTCTTGGAGCGTCCTTGGGGCCTCCTGGGAGCCATCTTGAGGCATCTCGGGCTGTCTCGAGCCATCTCGGAGGTCAGCGTGGGCTCTCCGAGGCCCTCTTGGAGCCGTCTTCGGCTCGGCGTGCCTCCTCACTCGCGCAAATCTTCGGGGGGCGGGGCTTCGCGCGCGCGCGCGAGCGGGCGGCCCTGTCGTCGCCCTTCGGCCTGGGCTCTCCGTGCCGACCTCGCCTGGAAGAGGCGCTGTCCCCGCTTGCGTGCGGCGTGTGCTTCGCACGCCGCGGCTGACTGTCCATCAGACCAGGGCTCGACCTAAAGGGTGTTACTCGTTGTCGGTCTTCCCTCGTTTGTCTGAAATTCGCCTGTGCTGCAGAACGACTTCGCAACGAAGACGGCCCACGAAATCGCGAAAACACCATTTAGGTCCACCCCCACATCAGACCACCCCAACCCAACCCGAAGACAAGAATTTCGGGTCGGGGGGCGTAATTACGGGCTTCGCATATGACATTTCTTCGATGCTCCCCGTCCCCCCCCCACTGGAAGTGGAGGGCAAATCGGGGCCTTCGGGTTGGGTTGGGGTGCTTCGGTGGGCGGCGAGAAGCGCACGACAACTACCTGCGGGAGCCGCGCGAGCGCGGGCGAAATGCTCTCCTCGCCCCAGCGCCGCGCAGCTGGTGCGTCGGCAGTGTCTTCTCGGCACGGCGCACATGCCTCGACTTTCGAGCAGGGGATCGACGACAGAATTGGTTCACCCCAAAACTTGAATTGCTCATCGAATCTACGAAACAAATGCGTAGAATGTCCCTTAGATCTGAGAAGAGCATTCTACGTGTGTTCCGTAACCTCGACGAGAAAAGCAAATTTGGGGTACATCAATTCTGCAATCGATCCCCTACTCGATACTTCCCCGCGCTCCCGGGCAATGTGGCCGCCCGACACGGGGCAGGGCTGGACCGAAACGTTGTTTTTCGTTCTGTTTTCGGTAAGCCTTTCGTTTTGCTGCACCTGCTTTCTGGTACCCTCCTGCCGAAGCGAAGCACACAGCACAGCCGACATCCAGCAAAACAGCGTTTAGGTCCAGCCCCGGCACGGGGCTGACAGGTGGTCTGGCCGCTGCGCTCCGCAAGGAGCGCTCTTCTCGGCGCCCCGCTCTCCCGCCGGTGCGCCGCGCCCCGCTTGTTTTTTGCTGGAGGGGGTGCCCAGGGACGAGTCCCAGGATTCCCAATAGTTTTGTTTTTCGTTTTTGTTGTGTTGGGAGGGCTTATATATATATATATATATATATATTGATATTGGTTACATGGTTTTTTTTCAAAGTATAATCTGCAGTTTAATTTGTATATATATATACACGTATGAGTACTAGTGTTAAATATAAGAGAAGAAGAAGAAACAAACTAAAACACAAACAGATTTTCTGGACTACCGTCTTCCCCTTCCGCTGCCCACGTCTTCGAAGATTTCCATGGGGCGTCGACTTTTGTGTCGATGGTTCCCTCCCGGGTCTTTGCGCCTTTCGCCGTCGTCGGAAGCGGGCCTGAGCGCGAGAGCGCCCTCCGCTCGCTTGGCATGAGTGCGTTCCTCCCAAGATCAGGTTGTGCCGCAAGCGGCTCTTCTGTCATGGGGGGAAGGGTGGGGATGGGTGGGGCCCGCCGACTCGCTCGCCCAGGCTACAGCCAAGCTGCTGTAGTAAGGAACGCCAAGGGACGAAGCCCCCGTTTGACACCAGAAGTGCCTGGGAGCACGAGGACGGCGAGGGGGAACAATCACGGAATGACCTGAGGAACCGCAGGCCCCTTCCGAGCCCGAAGCGGTTCTCATTTCAGCGTCTTGACTGTAGCTTGGCTCATGCTCGCACTTCTACTTCTACTTCTGGCGTTCGAGCCCGTTCGTCTGGCACCTTGAGGTCAGCGTTGTGGCTTTGCCAGACGCAAGGCTGTTCCACCTGCATTTTTGCAACACAACGCAGTGGTGGAGCCCTCACTCTGCCGGGCATCCTTCTTCTGCTACAGGCGTATGGCCACGGCCAGACCAGTTCGCGCGCAGCGGTAGCAACTGTCTGGAAATGCCACTTCCGCTGCTGAGGTTCCACCCCGGCTGATGAATCAAAGGCTCCTGGGCGCCCAATGGAGGAACGGAGGGGTCGACCCCCGCCGCCACCAGGAGAGCCCAGAATCGAATCGATAAGTCGGATCGGCAATCGAAATAAGTCGGATCGGAGGAAATCGGCAGCCGAACAGGGAAAAGTCGAATCGGCGGAAATCGGCAGTCTAGCAGGCATCCATGAAGAAATAAGAGCCCAAATCGGAATCCGAAGTCGAATCGAATCGGAATCGTAAGCCATCGAGATCGAACCGAATCGAATCAGAGGAATCGAAATGGGGCCCGCCACCCCCCTCGGGTCTTTCCGAGTCGGCCTCGAAGACCCCTGGATGGGGTCTGGAGGAAGACGCGCAGCGCCAGCGGTGGCTGGGCCGATGCAGGAGGGGGCCTCGAGCTGTGCAGCATGGCGCGGGAGTGCGCAGCGTGCGCTGCCCTCGACGCCGCGCGCTCCCCGCGCATGGCCCGTGCCGCGCGCGCGCGCGCCCATGGCGCGACCAGAGTCGCTCCATGGCAGCCGGCTCTGCCAGAGTGAAGACCACCACCTCTCTCCTCCTCCTCCGCCTCCTCCTCCTCCTCCTCCTCCGCCGCCTCCGCCTCCGCCTCCGCCTCCGCCTCCGCCTCCGCCTCCGCCTCCGCCTCCGCCTCCGCCTGCTCCTCCTCCTCCTCCTCCTCCTCCTCCTCCTCCGCGGCTGCTGGGCGATCTCGCATCTCTGCCGCTGGCGCGCTCTGGCGAACCTGTGCGCCCTCGCCCCGAGGGCTTCGCCTGGCGGCTCGGCACGGCGGGCGCCGCTCTCCCGGGGGAACTCCTTCCCGCCTTCGGGCGGACGAGGAGGAGGCGGAGGAGGAGGAGGAGGAGGAGGAGGAGGAGGAGGAGGAGGAGGAGGAGGAGGAGGAGGAGGAGGAGGAGGAGGAGGAGGAGGAGGAGGGGAGGAGGAGGAGGGAGGAGGCAGGAGGAGCAGGAGGAGGAGCAGGAGCAGGAGCAGGAGGAGGAGGAGGAGGAGGAGGAGGAGGAGGAGGAGGAGGAGGAGGAGGAGGAGGAGGAGCAGGAGCAGGAGCAGGAGGAGGAGCAGCAGGAGGAGGAGGAGGAGGAGGAGGAGGGAGGAGGAGGAGGTCCAGGGAGCCACGTCCAAGACCGCCCCCTCGCGCCCTGGCGGCGGCTGGGCTGACAGCCGAGCCCGCCGCTCCTGCGGCCCTGGCACCAGCCACGCCCGGAAGCGCACCCTCCGCAGCGCTCGGGCTGGCCGCCGCCTGCAGTCCTGTCGCTCGGCCCGTCCGTTCAGAGATCGCCAGTCGCTGGCCATCGCTTGGACGTCCATTTCCTGTGTTTGTTTCGGTTTCGTGCGTGGTTTTTCCGCCAAATGGTCGAGGATGCTCCTCGAGTGTCCTCGCCGAAGGAAGAATGCACACGTCCGAGCGACGCCAAAGTCGCTGCGGTGTCTGGGACGCCGTCGACCGCACTCGTGCGCGCCGAGGCCACTCTGGGGTGAACGACGGTCGTGGGCCCTGCGCTGCGGAGCCACGATGGCCGTGGCGACGACGCTCCGCCCGTCGCGAAGCGGTGTCTGTACTCCATGGGTGGAGACAGCTGGTCTTCAACATCTTTGGCCTTGGGAAGCCATGCGTGGCGTCGCGCCCGCCGACATGCGCGCCCTCTGCATGCCTGCGCTCATGCTATACAGGATGAGGCTGGACGATGCGGGGGCAGAGGAGGAGGAGGAGGAGGAGGAGGAGGAGGAGGAGGAGGAGGAGGAGAAGGCAGTTGAGGAGAGGCAGGAGATGCAAGGGGAACGCGGCGAGGAGGAGCATGCCCTCGGGACTGCATGATGTCAGCATTGTTCGGCTCATGCCCTCGGGACACAAACTCTGCCCACTGCCATCGGCGGTCTTTCGGACCACCGCAGCCACGGCGGCAGCGGCGGCCGCGGTCACGACCATTGCGACGGTGTTGTGAGCGTTTTGCGCCCCGCACTGCCCTCTCAAAGGACTTTCGAATTCGAAAACCCGTGAACCATCCAAATACAACTAACGCCTGACTTAACGGACCGTGCTTGCGCGCACACGTGCGCACACTTGCGCGACATGTTGTGTCATGGCCAACAGTTGCAGTCCGCTATCGCGCCTGCACGATGTGGGCGTGTCAGAATGCCAAGTGCTGCCCTGTATGGGGTTCTGTTTTCTAGTAAGCACCCCTCCTACCAGCAGATATCTGAATGCAACGTCTTCCCTCCCGAGGCCACCATTCCTGCGTTCCCGAGGCAAGCATGGATCTGCGCTCCCGAGGCATCATCCTTAGCTACAAAACGGTGGGTCCGAGTCCCAATCTTGCAAGACGGCACATACAGGCAACCAACGACACCTACATTGCCCAATCTGCCTCGAACATCGCCCAAGGTGGCCCCTAAGGCGGCCGAATATGGCCTCAGGGCAACACACTATGCCTCCAAACTGGCCCCAAAGGGTAACACAAGGAGTTCCAACAAGGCCCGAAAGCACCAACATCATTGAATGACTTCTGGGTTTTGAATGATTCTCGCATTCTCGCCTTTTCGGGCTTCCGTCAACTCAAGACGGCCCAAGACGACTCCATGAGGTCCTCAGGACGGCCCACGAGGCCCCCACGAGGGCCAAACATGGCCCAGGAGGACCCTACGAGGGCCCAATAGGCATCCACGATGGTCCAAGAGGGCCTCCCGTGGGACCCACGACGGCCTCATGCGGCACTTCGGCTGCCCAAGACGGCGCTAAGGCGGACCCCCGACACCCAGCATACGGCCAGGAGAGCCCCAAGACGGCCCGAGGGAGCACCAAGACTGCCTAAGAGGGCCTGCAGACGGCCCAAGAGGGCCCCAAGGGACCCCCCAAGACTGCCTCACAAGAGGACACGACAGCCCCAAGACGGCCCAGACAAGTTCCATGAGAGCTCCTCAACTAGTGGAGATGAACGGTGTGTCATATGCCGGCCTTCCTCTTCCTCCTCCTCATCATCTTAACCAGCATCATCCCCATCCCCATCCCCACCCCCATCCCCAACCCCGTTATCATCAGCATCAGCATCAACATCATCATCATGGCCACCATCATCACCACGAGTGTCAACCTCAGCAGCATAATCATCGTCAACATCACCATCACCACCACCATACCCATAATCATTACCATCACCACCACCACCACCATCATCATCATCACCATCATCATCACGAGCATCATCATCCTCATCATCCTCGTCATCATCATCATCATCAACATCATCATCATCATCATCATCATCATCATCATCATCATCATCCTCGTCATCATCATCATCATCACCATCATCATACTCATCATCATCATCATCATCATCATCATCATCACATCATCATCAACATCATCGCCATCACCCTTACCATCACAATCACCATCACCACCCTCACAGGCAACGTCAGCATCATCATCAACATCACCACCATCACCATCGCCCTCACCCTCGACACTACCATAAAAATCACTATCACCATGATCGCCATCACCATCACCAGCATCATCATCATCATCATCATCATCATCATCACCATTGCCATCATCACTGCCACCATGATCATGATCATGTTCATATGCATCCACATGATAGGCATCATCATCGCGGCTCTCCCAACCCTGGAGACACGAGGTGTGACACGTGACGGCCCCCCGTGACCACTCGAACAATCACCACCCAGAATGCAGGGCAGGCACGGTGGCCAGACTTGCTGCAGGCAGCTGGATAATCATTACAGTTCGAACACCACTCAGATGTTCACCAGCTACACGGATGGATATCGGGGTGTTTTTTTCAACCCTGCTCTCGTTTCAACGCCGCGAGCAGTTTCAGCCTTCCTATCCTGCCACTTCGTGTGATGTGGCCACTTGGTTCCGACTCCTCCAGCCTTGCGAAGCCTCAACATCTTCGGCTGAACCACGCGAGTACGTATTACCACTCCATCCCTTCCTGATCCTGAAACTTGGAGGCGGCCAGGAGCGGGATGAATTTCGTTTAACTGGTCCCCATCCCCAGCGGCGTGGCCTGGGCCCCACTGGCCGATGTACCCCCCCAGGTGGGGATATAGGCCGCTCCCTTCGGGTTTCGAGGGGTGTATCCCCAACTGGGGTGGTAATTTGGTGGGGCTCTTGAAGACGATGGAGATGCGGACGGGGATCGGATAAACGATACTGAGATGAGTGAAGGGGCCCTGGGACACACAAATAAATACACACAAATAAAGGATTCCCCATATTTTCTTATATTTTCTGGGTTTTTGTCTTCCCCCCCACTTCCCATATTTTCCTATATTTTCCTGGGAGTGGACGATTAATTGTGTCTGTGTGTTTTTTTCCCTCCTGAATGAGGCCAAACCCACTCGAAAGCGATCCCCGCCAGGCCCGCCGGGTGTGCAGTTCTTCACCACGGATCCGCTTCCGCCGGTCCCCGGGCCCGCACACGGCCCCCCTCGGAGGCCGAGGAGGGCAACCGTCAGGTCGGGGCTGCCCCCTTACAGGCTGATATTCGAAGAACAATTTACAGCAGGTTCGTGTCGTGCCGACCCTAGCGTTGGTTTTTGACACCGCAGGGATCATTCAACCTTGAACGATCGGCCGCTGCCGCAACGTCCGATCGTTCAACATCGATCGATTCTGGGTCGCCGGCGGCGTTCAACCTTGAACGCCCGCGCTGGGGTCGCCGCTGGTCGACACGACGCAAACCTACCGTAACATAGTCAAACACATATTCAAACATTGTCGAAACATATGAAAAAAGAGTCCCCAGACTATTTTTTCACCATTTTCGAAAATTCCTCCTGTAGAGGGACAGGCCCGACTTAAGGCAACAAGCCCTCTCGAACCCAGCGCCTCGAACTTGCCCGCCCTTCCTGCTGGCCGGAAGTAGTGCCGGGCCACCTCAGACCCCAAGACGGCTCCAACACACGAGTCTCACCCGGTCTGAATTTAAACGGTGTTTTTCGTTTTCGTTTTGTTTTCGTTTTCCTTCGCTTCTGTCTCGAATCCGCCTCTGCCGCAAAACGAAGTCGAAACCACAGACCCCGAGCGTTGGAGGTCCTGTCGGACGAAGGCTCGGAGGCAGCCTCGGCCCGGTCTGCCGCTGCACTGGCCGAGTGGGCGCCTCGGCACGGTGATGGCCCGCCTGGCCGCACCTGGAGGGTGGGCGTCGGCTGAGTGGCCTCCTGCCCACCGTGCTCGGGGTCTGTGGAGCCGTGCTCAGCCGCGCGCCCCTCACCCGTCCAGAGGGCTCCTCCTCCCCCTCCTCCTCCTCCTCCCTCCTCCTCCTCCTCCTCCTCCTCCTCCTCCTCCTCCTCCTCCTCCTCCTCCTCCCTCCTCTCCTCCTCCTCCTCCCTCCTCCCTCCTCCTCCTCCTCCTCCTCCTCCTCCTCCCTCCTCCTCCTCCTCCTCCTCCTCCTCCTCCTCCTCCTCCTCCTCCTCCTCCTCCTCCTCCGGTCGCGGTGACGCGGAGCAGCCCGGCGTGTGGGCCCTGGACGCCGCGGGGGCGGGAGGGCGGCACGAGGGCGGACGCAGCGCGCGGCGCGCGGGCGCCCACCGTCCACGGGTGCTCCAGGAAGCGCTTGTCCTCGGCATCGCGCGATTCGGCCGTCGTCGTCGTCGTCGTCGTCGTCGTCGTCGTCGTCGTCGTCGGCGTCGTCGTCGTCGCGTTGCGTATCGTCGTCCGTCGTCGTCGTGTCGTCGTCCGTCGTCGTCGCCCCCGGCGGCCCCTCCATTCCGCTGCCAACCTCCCGGGGCCGCTTCCGGGCCTCGTGGCCATGGAATCGGAGGCGTCCGAGAGCGGGGGGCGCGCAGACATGGATTAGCGATCCGTGGAATTGAAAGCGCGGTCGCCAAATCCATGGATCGTGGGAGGTGCCCTCCCCCCAGATGCTGGTGCCGCCTCGTTCGGCGGCGGAAGTCCGCGATTTCCCATGGAAACGGGACCCGTCGCGAATCCACGCCCCCTTGATCCATGCTTGCGATCGCCTGAGAGAGGGGGGCTCGCAAATCGTGGCCCGAAGCACGTGCGCGGTCCATTGGGGGGACCAGGGGACATACACACTGGTCGGAAGAAGTGGGTAGAAACATGAAGCAAGAAAACGTTGGATGTAGATTGGGCCTCCACCCGCGTCCGGAAGAGGAGGGAAGAGGAACGCCCGCTCGATCTTTGAAATCGGAAGGCGCCTAAAGCAAATGGGGACCTGGGCATCCCAAAACTACCTACTGTCAACGACCGGCGTGTATTGACAGAAGAATAGTAGGGGGCCACGAGATCCGGAAGATATCATGGCCCCCGCCATGAGATCCCCCCCCTGCGATAGGAGCTCGACCACAAAAGAAACCTTCCACAAGAAACCCAACCCTGAGACCCCAGGGCGTCCATTGAGTTTTGGTGTGGGAGCGCCACGCCTTCCACAAACATAACCATCGAAACCCAAGAATCCAAGAAACCCGGGGCACCCTGGAGGCAAGTAGGGTCCTGGAGGCAAGCAGGGTGCTTCTTGACATGGGCTTCCACTGTAGTCATCACCCCTCTCGCTGCCGTCCCCCCCCCCCGATTGCAACACGACCCGCGGCGAAGAGCGGACCCCGCGGATGTTTTTTTTTGGTTCCCCCGCTCTCGGCGCTCAACTTTCTCCTTGTGCTCCCCTCGTGGCATCCGTCTGCGGCTCGCCCCGGCGCCTGCTTGGCTCGCCTCACATCAACTGCCTCCTGCTCGACAGCCCGCCCTGCTCCGTGCCGCTGCTGCAAGGTGCGTGCAATCGAGAACCTGGTGCCTGCCCCCTCAGAGGTCCTCTAATCTCGCGCCACTATGCCCGCATGCACCTACGTCACACCCTCCTCCTTCCAAGACGTAGTTCTCGACCTAGTATTGCTTGATTTCAATCGCGCGGCACTCCTCACCTCAACGCTCTTTCTTGATTCCTCATCAACCTGGCGCTCGACATGACAATCCACCGGAAAAATCTGGCGGTATTGGGTCAATAATCAAAACTCATGATTCGGATGAGGCGTGAAATCAAATACCTGTGCCGTGTTCCATGCCACTGCGGCAATGCTGGTGCTGAAGTCCCGCACTACGGAGTTCCAGACGGCCTCGAAAATCTCCTGCCCAGTCACTTTCCCAGCGAAAGTGCTAAGAAACATCGTTGCCACGTGCTGCCCAGGTCCACCTCTTCCACTGAACGCCAGCGCTTTGAGGACGGCTTCTTGCCACCACATTTCAATAACATATATGGGCTGACCACGATGCTTTTCCTCGCACTTCTCTCGCGCCGGTCCACGTTTGCATGGAACCCTACCTCGCAACGACGTGCGAACGCTCGTTGTCCACTGCGCTTACGTTGTTGACGTTTCGCCTTCGCCGCCATCGACAAATGCTCGAAAACACAAATTACCAGCGGACTATGGTCGACGATTCTGGTCCTCTTTCTGCAGTGTCGCAAGCAAATAATCGATCGTGACATATTCTGTCATCGACTACATGTGTCCTATGCTCCATTCCTCTGCTTCATTCCTCTGCGCAGATGCCGTGCGGAACTACCGAGGGATAAGGGACATACTGCAATTGTGGGGACACGTCCATATCACCGTCTCATTATCTCATGGGCAATTTTTCGCGATGTCAAATCCGAACTTACAATCAGGCTGCAAAGTAGGGACCTGGGAATTAGTGTGGCCTGGTGGTGCCGCAAACCTGTGCTGCCTCCTGTGTCGCCTCCCAGGCACCTTGGTCAACGGAACTCGAGACTGAGCAAGGCGATACCCCGTGCCGACCCATGGAGACTGGAATCATCGCGCGCGCTCGAATTCTGGCCAGATTGGACGCCATGGCATCGCGTGGAAGCCGTCATATGATAAGCAACAGCAACAACAAATTTCGATGCCGGCTCTTAGGGCAATCTGCAGGTCTTGCGATCGTGGTCCCGGCCGATGGGGCCCTGGCACCAGTCTCCGACCCTCTCTAGTGCGACACGAAGGGGGAGAGATGAGGGGGGCATAGATGAGCAAGAAGGGCAAGATGGTGAGGAGCACAAGAGGGACGGAATGTAGACATGAGAGGGGAAAACAGTACCAGGGGAGGGGTGAGAAAGGGGGCGGGATGGGGCTGAACAGGGCTGTGTTGGGGCTGGTCGTGCCGGTTTGAGGCCTGTGGAAGTTCTTGCTGGCGCATCTGCCATTTCTGTGGAATGTCTCGTCCTCCTGCTCAACCGCCGCAACCTCCTCTTCCGTCACCACCTCCGCCTCACGCAGTCAATGAGCCGTCTTGGATTCTCTTGCGCGCATTCTGGAGCATTCATCTTCCGCCACTTCCTCCACCTTCAACCGTCTTTGGGAACTACCTGGACACATGCTTGGAGCCACTTAGACCCATGCTGGATGGTCCGCCTTGGAGGGCTTCCAAAGCGTTTTGGAGCCTTCTTGGGAATATCCTGGCCTGTCTTTGAGGTCTCTGGGAGTATTTCTTTGGGCCGTGGGGGCCTGTCTGGGGCCATCTGGGTGCCTTCTGGGCTGTCGGGGAGCTCTCTCGAGGCGGCGGGAGGGAGAGCCGATCCCATCTTGAACCCTCTTAGGGCTCTCTTGGGCCGCCTGGAGCCTCCAGGGGCGTCTTGTGGCCCTCTGGGGCCCCTCTCGACATGTCTTGGCCCTTCCTGGGGCCCCTTTTGGGGCTCGCGTATGCGAAACTGGCGACAACATGGTATCAACACTTTTCGACTGTTTGGATCCTTGGCAGGGCCTGCTTGGGCTGCCTGGGGTGGTCTTGGGAGGGTTCTCGAGGTGTCCTCGGCCGTCTCGGAGCTCTCTTGGGCCGTCCGTCCTGGGAGGCGTCGTGGCCCTTCTTTGAAACGTCTTCGACCACGTTCGGCATCTTTGGACGCCCGAGACGGGTACGGAAAACATGGGCACGATGCCCAGCAACGACTTGTCCAACACCAACAGCGGCCTCTGCCTCAAGCGGACAACGTCCGCGGCGACACCGATAGCGAACCCTGTTCCAAACGATCGAGAACAACTGTCGGTCTTCGTGCCCATCATTTCCGTTATGCCAACGTGCTACCAGAAGGAACGCATAACACGGAACGAGGGGGCTTTTCTGGCCACGGCGGGCCTAGGGCACGACCCGGTTCCACGACGTAGATCTGAGGGACGGCCCGGAGGAAGCCCGAGCCCCTGCTGAGCCCAATTCGGTCCTTACTTCATCGTCTTGACTGTGCCCGCCTCGATCGTCCCGAAGCCGAGGGCGTCCGAGCCGCCCCTGGATTCCCGAGGAGGCCCAGCTGGACTCCGTGCACCACAGTCGCCCGTTGAGGGCCTAGGGCCCCCCTGGCCCCCGCTGGGGGGGCGCCGAAGCAGCACGTGCAGAGAATCTGTGTACGTTCATGGCGACATGTCAAAGCTCACACAACTGCTCTGCTGTCTCTGGTGCCGGCGTACTCCCCGTGCCTCCTGCGTGTGGTGCACCTGGTCTTTTCCCTGCGCGACTGCCCATGCCCCCCCCTCCCTCCTTATTCAGGGCTGTCCCGAATTCACCGCCCTTGCCACACTTGAGGTCGCTATCGACAAGCCCGGTGGTGACCTGAGGATGTCATCAGATAGCTAGAAGAATTGGCACGGCGACGAGCTCGACCAACGCACAGAACGTGGCATACAAGACCCGATGCGAATCCCTGCTAAATACGGTGTGCTTAGGCTGTCCCGCAAAGCTTCCCTCAAACTTGCTGACGCTGTGCGGAGATCAATCATGACAGTAAGGAAGAAACACATAGCATAAACATGAACTTGTGGTGGTCCGCGTGGCTTTGCTGGATCTGCGTTGGACCCCCTTCCCTGGCGCGCGGAGCGCGCCAGGGGCGGCGCCAGAGGCGCCGCTGGGGGGGCCCGAACGCGGATCCGAGAGATCCGCGCGGCGCGCCAAACGTTTCTGCTTATGGCGTTTTTGCTCTTCGACTTCCTCAGGCAGCGACTGCACTAATGAGTCCTTGCCTGCTTTGCTCTATCACTGGCGGGCGTCTCCAAATTTTCGGGGGGCGGGCGGTCGTCGCCGCTCCGTCGCCGCCTCGAGCGCTCGCCTCGGGGATCTGCTGGCCCGGGCCGACCCGGACCCGTGCCAGCCGGGCTCCGCAGGACCCCGCAAAAAAGCCTGCAGGGCCCTGCGCCCAAGCCCGGGCCAGTGCGCCCCTGGCTCTGCAGGGGTCCTGCAGGATCCAGCGCTCCGACCGACACCCGTTTTTGCAGTGGCCCCTGTCTCTTCAACCCCGACCGTTGGCGATCACGGGAGGTCGCCCAGCGGGTGCCCGTCGCCGCGTCGTCGCTGTCTCGTGCGCTGGCTGGCTGTTCAGGGGTTTCGGCCGCTGGGGGCTCGTCGCCGCTGCTTCGCCGCCTCGGGCGCTGGCTCACGTTTCAAATTGTAAACGTGGGTTCTCATTCCTTAAAAGAGAATAGTCTACCTTTTGCGCACTGCAATTAGCACACGATTCCGCCCCATCGCCCATCCTAAATATGAACTCGCACCATCTCAGAGGGGGCCCGTATCTCCTCCACCCGGCCATCCTCTGCAACAGAATTATGCGCGCGCCCTCGTTCATCAACCATTATCAGTTTTCAAAAACCTTTTGCAACATACGTAACGAAGTGCGCACGCGCGCGTTGTCGCGCGCGCGTGCTGGAATCCTTCAAAAACCTTAGGTTTCGTAGCAAATTCGAAATCGAATGTCTCCCGAAAGTATACACGCAGGGTTTCGCAGCACGGATTTCAAGAATTCTTCAGAACACCATGGTTTTTTGGTGATATATATATAAATATATATATATTTAGTTCCTTTTTTTTTTTTTGTTGATTTTTTCTTAAAAACAAAACTGGCTTCGCGCGTGCATGTCGAAATCGTTCGAACGCGCTTGCGCGCGTGCCGTCGCGAGAACCCTTTGCAACAGATGCGACGAAGTGCACTGGCGCGCGTCGTCGCGCGCGCATGCGGAAATCCGTCAAAACACTATCGGTTTCGTAGCGATTTTTAAACTGAGTTCCCAAACGCAGAAAACATGGTTTCGCAACGCCAATTTTTAAAAAAAGCTTGCGTTCGCGCTCTTGCGAATTCTTAAGAACATCACGAATTTTCAACATGCTCATGGGATTCTGCCAACCGGGCCTCTGGCGCCGCATGCCGAAATCATTCGCACGCCGTTGCGCGCGTGCTGGGGTGGGTGGGGGGGGGGGGGGCGATCCGTGCCAAATAACACCATGTGGGCGGCTTTCGCGCGTCGGCCGCGCGCGCATGTCGAACTCTTGCCGAAACATTCATCACCGACGCGAGGATGCCGTTATCGTCGTCGGCGTGATTCGCATCGAAGCCCGCACTGGTCGCACCGTCGTCGTTGTCAACATCCTCACCAACATCGCTGCTATCATCATCGTGTCTACCGCTGTCGACGTTGCCATGATACCGCGCTCACCCAAGTCGCCGACAAGCACTCAAGTGCCGGCTGGGTTGTGCCCAGCGGTCAGCGCCACCGCGGCCGCGTCGGTCGCGCCAAACTGACTGGCCGCTGCGCGCGCGCTTGCTTGGGTCGGCGCGGCCGCAGAGATGCACCAGCCAACGCCAAGCACTCATCGCAATCGCCACCGCATGGGTTTTGCAAACCAAGTTGCGGATGAGTGGGTGGCTGGGTGGGATGTTTGCAAGAGCGCGGGATGTGTCAACTCGTTTGTTAAAATCAACTGCGCCACATATATTGCGCCGCGTATCTTGTCGTTCAGATCTTGCGCTCCAGTGAGTGCATCCCGCAGATGGCACCATGCACAAAGTGCCTCATACGCATTTCACGCCGATAGTGCAACATCCAACTGTTTGGGGTTCACACCAGCGAGCATTCAACAACAAACGCATGCATTGACGCCGCCTGTAGCATGTCAACATATGCCAGGAATCACCAATCCTGTCAGCCTGCGCGATGGGCTGCCCATCCCATTGAGGACTCTTGTGGCCGTTCCATCGAACCTTCCATTGTTCATATCCTTCTCATTGAGATTCTCCATTCTGGGTTCGAGCTTGCCCAAGCTCACATTCCGTCTGCTGATGAGGGAAGTCCTTTCCTTTTGATCCCTTTCCCCCATCGAGTGGGGAGGGCAAGAGGATGCGCCACGTCGGACGATGAGGCCCGTCGATACGAGAGCTTACAGGGGCGAGGCGAACTGAGGGAACGATGGTGCTGATGCCGCCGTCGTGTTTCGAGGTCGGTGCACCCTGCGTAGAAATCAAAACATCCACCCCCATATCAACCCACCCGACACGCGAAGTCGTGTAGTAAATGTGCCCAAAAAAGGAATCGAACGGGGCAGGGCTTTTTAGTAAACGCCCAAGGCCGTTTTATAAACGCCAGTTGTCTGGTCCGGGTGGTTTTTCCCTCCTTGACTGTGCTGCAGCGGCGGCAGGAGGGTGGCATCTGCGCTGGTGCACTTCTCAGCGAGCGAAAAACGGTATACAACAAGCTTTCCGCCGTCGGGGACGCTTGCCCCTGGGCGGCTGGAAAGTTTATACCCCTATGGCGCCACCGTAAGGGTAACAAAAACTTTCCAGCCGCCCTGGGGCAGGTGTTCCCGACGGGCGTCAAAATCTGCATGGCCCGTGTTGCACGGGCAGCTCCACATTCGATGAAATAACGTTCCCTTCTCAGTGCCGCAGCGCTGGCAGGTCACCTCTGAGCCGTAGCCTGCCTGCTGCTGGCGCTCCCTCGCCCACTGGCCGCCGCTGGCGATGACGACCGTCTGCGCCCACAGGTCGAGCGCCCCCGCGAACAAGTTTATTTGATACCGTTCTTCGCCCGTTACACTCCCGGAGGTGCGGGCGGCCCCCCCGCAGCCGCAGGCCGCAGGCCGCCTGCGGGCTCGCCACAAAAGCCCTGCGGGGGGCGAGGGCGCCGCCCCCGGCTGCGGCCGCGGGCGGGGGGCGAGAGCCCTGGGCCTCCCCGCGCCGCTGGCGGGCCCTGGCCCGGCGGGCGCGGGGGGGCCGCGGTATCGCGGAGGCAAGGCAGCCCCGCGGGGCCCGCGCTGCCGGGGGGGGGGGTCGACGACGAGGTCGCGGCGGTGTGCAGTGTGTCCGAGGCCCGACGGCTCGGTGAGCGGGTGGCCTCCCGGGAAGGGGGGGCATGTGCCGTGGGGCGTGCGGCGGCGGGAACTCCTCCGCTGCGGCCGCGGGGGTATGGGGATGCCTCCTCGGCAGGAGCCAGGAGCTCGGCAGAAGGACCAGCGTTACCCGAGGTCGATGGGGACTGCATCGCGGCCTCGTGGAGGTCGTTCGTGTTCGTCGGCGGCGTGGATTCGGCCTTGCGGCGATGGCGGACGCTGGCATCACACTAGCATTGTGAGTGGCCGCGTGGGAGCATATGTGAGCAGTGCCAAAATCGCCAGTGAGAGGGAGGAGCTTCAGGCGCCGTGGGGGAAGGAACGGCGGAGGAGGAGGAGGACGATGACGATGGCGATGACGATGGCGACGCTGGCGACGATGACGACGATGGCGATGGCGATGGCGATGGCGATGATGATGATGATGATGATGATGATGATGATGATGATGATGATGATGATGATGATGATGATGGTGGTGATGATGATGATGATGATGATGATGATGATGATGATGATGATGATGATGATGATGATGACTACGCTGATGATTATGACGAGGAGGAGGAGGAGGCGCAGAGGGATGATGAGTGGGATGAGGGGGATCGGAAGCTGAGGGGGAGACGGATGTGGCTGAGGAAGCAAGGGGGGAAGAGGAAGACGGATGAGGACTGCTAGAGGATGAACAGAGAGATGAGGAGGCTGGGCCGCCGAGGCTCCGGGACCCCGTCGGCGATCTCTATGATCTGGTTGCTGTAGACCTGCGGGCCGCTGCCGCAGCGGGGCTTGTCGGATAGAAGCGGGGCGTCATCGGGAGTGCCCCTTTCTCCCTGCGGCATCACTGCCCCGTCGCGTGCTACAGTGCGGAAGAGGGAGAGAGCGGAGGAGGCGGATGAGAAACGAGTCACGAATTCGAGCCATTCGGTTCTCGCAGTTCTTCGAAGCCTAGCCCTGGGACTGTGGGCAGCGCTGCCAATACCCGAGACAATCCATCGCAGAGCCGCGCAACTGCGGGGAGTCACGAGCCATCGCCAGAATCGCGAAACTCACGAGGTGTGGAAGCCAAGGACGGGACAAGTCGTGGCGAAACGCCAACTGTGGAAAGGCCAAGCTTCAGGTCGGGCATGTCCTCCTGCAGGCGGATTCTCGAAGACAGATAAGAGGTAGTCGACCAAACACGTGGTCAAAAGAGCACGAGGCATCGTCCCCAGACTATGTTTTCACCATTCCCGAATCTTCCTCCTGTAGAGGGGCATGCCCGACGTAAGTGTCCCAGTGGCACCGCTCGCATGCGTCCGCCACCACGCAGCACAGCCCTTGCTGACCGCGTCTCACCCACCCAGTACAGCGTTTCGTGGCCCCATAGGGAGCTCCACCGAAGGTCCCAGTGGCACCGCCCGCATGCGTCCGCCACCACCCAGCACAATTGCGGCATTCACAACTGCATATGGTTGGGTCCTTCGCCAGACTATTTTTGCACCATTCTCGAATCTTCCTCCTGTAGAGGGGCATGCCCGACGTAAGTGTGGAAGTCACGGGCGGGACACACCGTGGCGAAAGGCCACATGCGGAAGGGCCAAGCGGGTCGGCCACCGCGCGAGGTGAAGCGGGCCGCCCCAGGAACCGCCCCCCTCGGGGGCGGCACGGCGGCGGCCTCCCACTCGTCGCAGTCGAAGATGCTGATGTGCTTGGCATACTGCATCTTTATCAGCTCGACCTCGTAGCCTGGATGCCCCGATCCAGCGCGGGCATGCATTCTTGGGCGGCTTATCGAGATCGTGCCATTCAATGGCAACCGCAAGTGTCCCGGTCGAACACGGGCGTGAATTCATGGGCGGTTTATCGAAACCGTGCCATTCAATATCAACCGCACTTCTCCACAGAGGCCATCACCCACATGCAGGTAATGCAGGAGACACACAAATTGAGGTCCACTTCTCGATGCAACTTTCTCATGTGGCAAGTCATGGCCGTGCTCGATGGTCTCGACAATGCGAGCAGTAATCCGTACGCGGTCAGATAACATGCATGGATTAGGGGCTGCCTGATGCTTCCCTTTCCTGCTCTGGCCTCCTGCATGTTCGGTACCGCCAACTCCCACCAACGCTCTGGACGGAAATGGTCTTGAACATAAGCTCTTCCAACACGGCCCCCTGTTCGCCTCCTGTATGTGGATGAAGGGGGGGCGAAGCGTCAGGGCGTCCAAGATGGCCCTACGTGTATCCAAATTGGTTCCACAGTCTCCAAATTGGTTCCAAGACGGCGCCAGTAACGCCATATTGCTGTGAGGATGGCGGTGCAAGACGACCCACGTTGGCCAACGTGGCCTCCAACATGGCTTGTCACACCAAATTCGCAACCATGATTGCACCACCGCTTCCTCCGATACCTTCACCTTTTGGGCATGCTGTTTCATGCGATGCCTTCGCTTCCTTCCCTCCTTCATTCCATGGGACTTCCTTGCTCATTACCCCTAACAGCGTGCGAGACATGATGTGTTGACCCTGGACATCGCAGCAACGGCATTAACGTGGTGATTGGAAGGGAAGCAAGGACGGGGGGAAACACGGATGAGGCAGAGGACTTCATGGGCTTTCTTCCTCGCCCACTACCAACCAGAACCCTTGCTCCGCATGTGCCCTATGTGTGGGGGGCGCTTATTCCCAACATCCAGAGTGCGGCATTACCATTATTGATGCATAATGCCTCTGCCTCCTCTCTCCCTCCCGCCTCCGACCCCCGCTCGGTTCTCAAGCTCTCACGCTCAGGCCCGCTCAGGCTCAGGCTCGCTCCGACACAGGCTCACCTCCGCTCGAGCTCGCACCCCTTTTCGCTCTGAGGCCCACCTGCACGCAGACTCGCTCACACTCAGACGTCCTCCCACTCGGACCCACTCGTCCACAACCTCGAGCATGCTCAGGCTCCTCCCCCTCCTCCTCCTCCTCCTCCTCCTCCTCCTCCTGCGCCTCCTCCTCCTCCTCCTCCTCCTCCTCCGCCTCCTCCTCCGCCTCCTCCTCCGCCTCCTCCTCCTCCTCCTCCTCCTCCTCCTCTCGCCGAGCTCCACTCACATTCGGGCTCGCACTCATGACCGCCGCGATGTCATTCGCAAGCACACCTCGCTCGGGCCTCCCGGGGGTGGGCGCCGCGAAGGGGGACAGTACTGCGCGGGCCCGCTCGCGCCCGTGTGTGGGTGCGACCTCTCAGGTACTGCCCGCTTGGGGCGGTGGACAGTTTTTTTGTTTTTTTGTTTTTTTTTGTTTTTTTGTTTTTTTTTGGGGGGGAACCCCCAAACCGGGTGGTGAGATACCAAAGGGCGACCTGGAATCCCCCAAAGGGTCACCGCTGGGTTTGGGGACGCGGGGCCACCGCCGGTTTTGTGACTCCCGGACCCACCAACGTTCGGTACATCCTCGGAAAACCGCACGAGTCCCCAAACCGGGTGGTGACACCAAATCGCCCGAGACTCACCGCCAGGTGTTGTCACCACCACGTTTGGGGACTGCCAAAGAACGGCATAAACATACACTTGCGCCGGTCCGCGTGCATTTCGTGGATCCGCGCTGGTCCCCCTCCCCAGCGCGGAGCGCGCCAGGGGCGGCGCCAGAGGCGCCGCCAGGGGGGCCCAGCGCAGATCCAGGAGATACGCGCGGAGCGCCGAAAGTTTATGTTTGTGCCTTGTTTTGTTTTCCGACTGTGGGCGTCTCTTCTCAGAGCCTCTTGGTGGCCGCGAAACAGCAAGCATTGCACTGGGGTTAGGTCGGGCATGTCCCCCTACAGGCGGATTGTGGGCGAAAAATAGAACATGGTCAAAACATACTCAACAATGATGAAACAAATGGTCGAATAATCGTCCCCAGACTATTTCTTGACTAATTTTGAATATTCCTCCTGTAGAGGGATGTGCCCGACTTAACGCTGGGGCCTCCCAAGGAGGGAGCCGCCTGGGTTAATATCGCGGGCCCATCGGCGCCTAGATGGGCGGGCCCTTTCTCTTGAGCAGAACGCCCGCCTTGGGGCGGTGTGCGTGTCCGCTTCCTCCTCCTCCTCCTCCTCCTCCTCCTCCTCCTCCTCTTCCTCTTCCTCCTCCTCCTCCTCCTCCTCCTCCGCCTCCTCCTCCTCCTCCTCCTCCTCCTCCTCCTCCTCCTCCTCCCCCTCCTCCCTGATCATCCCCTTCTCCCCCACTCCGGAAGGCCCAAAAGATCCCGCAGGAAGCTTCCAGAGGCCCCCCAACCTGTCGCGCCATGGCCTAGCTGCTGGGGCGTGGGCGGCCTGGAGCTCTCCCAGGGCTGGACTGCGGGTTCCCTCCTCCTCCTCCTCTTCCTCTTCCTCCTCCTCCTCCTCCTCCTCCTCCGCCTCCTCCTCCTCCTCCTCCTCCTCCTCCTCCTCCTCCTCCTCCCCCTCCTCCCTGATCATCCCCTTCTCCCCCACTCCGGAAGGCCCAAAAGATCCCGCAGGAAGCTTCCAGAGGCCCCCCAACCTGTCGCGCCATGGCCTAGCTGCTGGGGCGTGGGCGGCCTGGAGCTCTCCCAGGGCTGGACTGCGGGTTCGGCCCAACAGAGCGCAGCAGTGGGACCCGTGGCAGGAGGGACGACGGCCTTCCTGGGGGCCCCACTGAGTATCGTTTAACCGATCCCCATCCCCAGCGGCGTGGCCTGGGAGGCCCCACTGGCCGATTTCACAACCTAGATGGGGATATGGGTCGTTCTCTTCGGGCTTCTAGGGGTGTATCCCCAACTGGGGTGGTAATTTGGTGGGGGTCTTGAAGACGATGGAGATGCGGATGGGGATCGGACAAACGAGGAGGAGGAGGAGGAGGAGGAGGAGGAGGAGGAGGAGGAGGAGGAGGAGGAGGAGGAGGAGGAGGAGGAGGAGGAGGAGGGAGGAGGAGGAGGAGATACCCACCCACCTGGGCCTGGACGCACCTCTGGGGCAGCCCGCCTGCCGCACTCGCTTTTCCCGGGGCCCCCTCTCCTCAGCCCCCCCCCCCGGCGCGCTCTCGGGCATCATGAGCGAGTAGCAGTACATGCCCGAGTTGTCTGCGGGCGCCGCGCGGCCCGGCGCGCGCGGGGCGGCCAGAGGGCAGAGCTCCTGCAGGGGCGCCAAAGGCCGGACCGTCGCGCCCAGGCCGGAGCGCCCCTGCCGATGGTGCGGGTTGGGCCGCGCCCGACGCGGCGAGAGTGCCCCCCTTCGTCTCCTGCTGCTGCTCTTCCTCCCCCCCTTCCGCGCCCCAGAGGGCACGGGCAATCGCTTCGCATGTGCCCAGCATCGTTACCGTTTCCGCTGGCGAAAGCAGAGGGCAAGGGAGGGGGCATTGGGAGAGGGAAGGAGGGGAGGCGGAAGGGGAGGAGGAGGGGAAGGGAAAATGGGATTGGAGGGAAGGGTGGACGGTGAAGAACTTGCCCTGCCAGCCCCTGATGCTACGGGGGTGGGGTGGAAAGGGTTCCTGTGGGAAGAGCGCCTGCGAGGGTCGTGGTGCACATTTCCTCCTCCTACTCTTGTAACTGCTCCTTCTCCCGGTCCGCCTCCCCGTGTTCCAAAGCTGATTTCCTGAGATGCGTCACAAACACATCAGATCACCTCAAGACCCACTCGGGTTTGCGGGAAATCTGGCCCCTCAAGCGCCAACCTGAACCTTGAAGCTTGAGCCACCTTCCCTCCCGCCCCCTCCCTTCTGCCTCCCCCGCTCCCGTCCCCGAATCTCGTCTCCGGCATCCGGCCTCCGCCTCGGCCTCCCTGCACGCCATACTTTCCCCGAAACGCCGTCGTCGTCGGAATGCCATGGGGAAGGTCTGGGAATCTCACATGCGGTTGCTGAGCGGATCATCGGACCACGCGACAGTTTTCACCGAGATCGTACGTACTCTAAGACGCACATACAGGATCGGTACGATACGCCGAGGAAACTTGCGGATGTCACTTGAACGAATCGTACCAAGCGTGGCTTAGATAGTTAGGTTGCTATTCCAACCCCCTTCTTGCGCTGTGGGGAAGGGTCGATCCCTCTCCCTCTCCCTGGGGCCGGGAGCCAGGGTTTCGCGACGTGCTAAAGCGTCCAAGATGGCAACACGATGGCGCCCAGATCGCCCCAGATACCCCAATGTGGTCACCAATCTGGGTGCAAGACGGTCCAAGATGGCCTGCCGATGGGTCCAACTGGCCAGGCACCCTCCTCCAGAGGATAGCCCCGTGAGACACATATCTGAAAATATCTTATAGATCTGGCTTTTCGGTTCTGTTTGCCTTCTCGCCTTTTCGCTTCCGGTGGCCGATGGGCTTCCGGGGCCACAAGACGGATCCAAGATCGCCCATGAGCCCCAAGGAAGGCCTCGAAAAGCCCCAGGGTGGCCCCCAAAGCCCCCCCAACACCCAACGAACGTTCCGCGACAACCACAGTAAGCGATATTTCGGGCTCCCAACGGGGGACCCTCGGAAGCCTCTCAGAAGCATCCTTTGGCGTCCTGTGGGCCAACGCAACTTCGTCGCGGTCCCAGATAGGCCAAGATGACATCCGATATAGCACAGCATAGTCCAATAGATCTGTACAGTCGAATTGCCATGTCTCCAGACCCTTCCCTAATCGAAAACATCTTGTGCGATGCGCAAAAAGTGGGCACGCCGATGGTAACAAGGGCCCGCGACAACAATGGGCGACTTCTGCGTGCGATCTGTCTTGTTTGTAACTCCACTTCGCCCGCTCCTCGTCTTCCTCCCCCTCTCGCTCCTCTAGTGTTCCTGCCTCACAATCATGATGCGCACCGTTTTTCTGCTTCACAGTCGAGCCTCTGTTGCATGTAGCCACTCTGTAGGGTGTACTGTAGACTTCCACGACGAGCTGATAATAGCGCACTCTTCTTCCTACGCGTCCTTCAGGATGCTCGGCTCAGCCATGCCATGCCAAGTTAAACATGGAGCAAGATGGCCTCCAGCATGCCTCCGAGAGGCCCCAATACCGCCCCAAGTGACGACGAATCCTCCTGAGGATGCCCTCAAGAAACCCACCCCCCCAAGCAACGTAACACTGTTCACTGCTGTTTACCTTCTCGCCTTTTGGGCTTCCGATGAACCTCTGAGGCCTCAATATGGCTCCCAGATCGCCCAAGAGAGCCCCCAGAAGGGCCCAGAAGGGCTTCAAGACGGCCCCACATGCCCCCAAGCACGCGCCAAGAGTGCCTCAAGGAGACGGTGTTTGGGGCTCCAGCAGGGGGGGTGGAGCTAATTCGTGCAGCTTTTTTGAAGCTCCATGGCCTGCCTCCAAGATTGCTCCAAGAGGGCCTCCTATGGCCCCAGGTGAGCCTCATTCCAAAAGGGCTCCAAGAGAGCTCCAGAATTGCTCCGAGAGATGTCTAAATTCACAATGGTTCGCCTTCTCGTTTCACTACACGCTTCCTGGAGTTCCAGGTCCGCTATGTCACTCGTCGGCGGACAGAGAGACAAAACGCAATGGGAAGTGATGGGTGAGAGGGATCAGGTGTCAGATATGGCGTAAACGCGCCTGGCTTGATACGAATACTACCCTCCCCTCTCTCCCCTGACTCTTTCCGAAAGATGTCCCACCCTCTCCGCGCATCTAGTCTTTACGCACAGGATCGGGCAGCATGCTTCGCGCCCCTTCCACTCTAGCTCCTGCTGCTGCTGTTCTTCCCCGTTCTTCTCCTGCCTCCTGCTCGTCCGCCACCTCCTCCCCCACTGTACGAGACTCCATTTTCTTCTGATCGCGCATAACGCGGTGAGGTCCCCTTTGGAGTTCGAGGTCCGCTACGACACGCGCCGGCGCGGCGGATAGAGAAACACAGAGCAGTGGGAAGGGTTGGTTGGTGGGGGTAGGAAGTCAAATATTAAAGGGGCCCTGGGACACACACACACACACACCCACCCACACCCACCCACACACACCCACACACACCCCCCCACACACACACAAACCCACACACCCACACACCCACACACCCACACGCACGCACGCGCACCCGCACGCGCACCCGCACGCGCACCCGAACGCGCACCCGCACGCGCACCCGCACGCGCACCCGCATGCGCACCCGCACACGCCCCCGCACACGCCCCTGCGCGCGCCCCCGCGCCCACGCACGCCCACGCCCGCCCAGAAACGCCCAGAAACGCCAAGAAACGCCCATCATCGCCCAGAAACGCCCCACACATGCCCACACACACCAACAAACGCACACACACCCACACACACACACACGCACACACACGCACACACACACACACGCACACACACACACGCACACACATACACGCACATACACGCACACACACGCACGCACGCACGCACGCACACGCGCACACGCACACACACGCACCCGCACACACACACACACACGCACACCACACACGCACACACGCACACACGCACCCACACACCCCACACCCACACACCATCCACACACACCCACGCACCCACACCCCCACCCCCACACCCCCACACCCCCACACACACCCCCCACACCCCCACACACCCCACACACGCACCCACACCCCCCCACCCACCCACCCACACACACACACCAACACACCACAACACCAAACCACACACACACACCACACACACCACACATACCACACACGCACCGCACACACCACACACGCACCACACACACACCACACACACCAAACACACACACACACACACACCGCACACACCACAGACACCACACACACACCACACACACCACACACCACACACACACCACACACCACACACGCACACCACACACACACACCACACACACGTACACGCACCACACATGAACCACACAGACCACGCACACACATCACACAGGCGCACACCACACACACAACGCACACAACATACAACACACACACACCACACAACACAACACACATCACGACACACACACACAACACACAATACACACACCACCCACCACACAGCACACATCACACACCCACAACACACACCACACAACTCGCACAGCACACAACACACACGACACACACACACGACACACACAACACACACGTACACCACACACAATACACACAGCACACACGTCACACACATCATACACACAACACGACACACACCACACACAACACACACAACGCACAACCGACACACATTTCACACCACACACACCACACACAACCACAACACGCACGCACCAACCACATCACACACACGCACACACGCGCACACCACACACACCACACACACCACACACAGCACACACATCACGCACCACACACACAACACACAACACACAACACACACACACCACACACACAACACACTCAACACACACACACACCATACACCCCACATACCGCACACATGCCCCGCACACCCCACATACCCCTCTCCCACACCCAAGAACCCAGAACCCAACATACACAGACAGACAGACAAACAGGCAGGCAGACAAACCGACAATCAGACGGACGGACAGCCAGCCACACACACACACAGACAGACAGACAGCCAGCCAGACAAGCACACACACAAACCGACACACACACACACGCACACACACACACGCACACACGGACGCCCACGCCCACGCCCGCGCCCACGCCACGCATACACAGACACACACACACCCACTTACCCACCCACACACACACACACGCACGCACACACACACACGCACACACACCCGCACACTGACACACGCCCATGCACGCCCACACACGCCCACACACGGCCACACACGGCCACACACGCCCACACACGCCAGCACGCGCACACGCGCGCCCACATGCGCCCGCACGCGCCCACACGCGTCCACACACGCACACGCACACACACACGCACACACACACGCACACACACGCACACACACGCACACACACACACACGCACACGCACACACGGACGCCCACGCCCACGCCCACGCCCACGCCACGCATACACAGACACACACACACACCCACTTACCCACCCACACACACACACACGCACGCACACACACACGCACACACACCCGCACACTGACACACGCCCATGCACGCCCACACACGCCCACACACGGCCACACACGGCCACACACGCCCA